TCTCGTTCGGGGTGTTTCAAACAGAAATTTGAGTCCCAATTGTCTTCCTGCTACATAACGGATAACAAATCTTAGTTTACGCGGCCATATCTCAGTAAATGAAAGGGTTTTGTGCAATTATCAAACGGAAGTTTCGAGTGGAATTTTCCTTTGGCGCGTAGAAGAGCGTGCATCATTTGTCCAAACCGTAAACCGAAATAAACTGATCAGTTTTCCAATGTTAATGCTCAAAGGGTTATTAGGGACCTTAAGATCCGACGACGGCAACGGGAACGGGAACGCCACAAAAGCAATAGGTTTAATAACCAAAACAACAATTTTGCACGTGCATCACGCATTTCTTTGCCGTCACTGCACGACTACGACGTGAAAATGCCTAATTTCAAGTTGTACAGAGGAAGTACACAAGCGACTACGAAATTTCCTCTCTCTTTCTGAACTTGGATATGGTTCTTAGGAATTCAACTTTAGGATGGTTCACCCACAGTTGAAAAAGTTAGTGACTTGGATTAATCGCGATGAAGATTGAAATAACACGAATTCACTTTTCTAGCGACGTTTTCTCAGCAGTCGCCTTCCTCGGATCTTAAGGTTCCTATTTTATCTGCTGGGACGCAAGGTAGTGTTCGTTGCCGTTGTGGGAAGGCGTCATAATTATTTTTGTCTACTTTTTTCGTTTAGGACCGCTGAAGTAGTGGCGCGCTTTCGTCCCCGCTGTCCTATCATCGTGGTAACACGTGACGCGCGCGTGGCACGCCAGATGCACTTATACAGGGGCTGCTTTCCGCTCATTTACGATAGACCGCCAAAAGAGAACGTGCTTGAAGAACACGATGAGCGGCTTGAATTTGCGCTGGACATGGGCAAAAGGATGGGATTCATGAAAGTAGGAAACGCGTTTGTGTTTGTGTCGGGTTGGAAGGCTGGTGCAGCTCATACCAACACAATCCGCATCCTTACTGTCATGGAAGAGAAGATTCATATCGCCAAGAGTCTGTCAGAGTCCGCAGATATAAAAGGGAGGATGCAAAACTTGACCGTGCCCTAGGCGTTAAATTTGCCAGCATGAGTAACTCTCAGAAGTTTTTAACTTGGAGTGGTTTTTGACAGTGTGAAACATGTAGACGATGCTGAATTCAATATTGCTAGGAAATAGATTATTTATCGTGTATTTGGATTTTTTGATCACAATGAGCTTTCGTGTCAGTTGCAAAACTACTGGCTAAGGCGGCTGGTGTGAAAAAGGCAAACTGAATAAACTCATCTTCAGTTGTTATTATTGATCTATAGTTGCATTTTATTTTTTCCATGTGGTTCAGAGTCTGAACGGGGGGAAGGGTGGGTGGGGTTGGTCCTGATCCTGCATTCCCGCTTTTTTTTCACGACAATTATATTCCGCATCCCAAACGTCTGTCATCTGCGCCTCGAGTACCGTTTTTCTTTCCCAACCCTTTTTAGTGCATGATTTTGGCGAATCTCGCATTCCCACTAGCATTCAAATCCCGTGTCCCGTCAAGACTTTTTGCTTTTTCCCGAATCCCGCTCTGTATTTTAGTCAAATCCCGCGTCCCGAAAATACCCGTCCAGGGAAAAGCCCTGGAGACTAGCGATTTGATGTTGTCGCTGTTAAACGTCTTGAACAGCGGAGTACAAAATTATGCCAACGACAGTCAACAATTTTACAGATGTTTTACTCGACCCGTGAAACAGATACTAACAACTATTGCAAAATAGCTACAAGTAAACAAAAGAAGGCAATGGAATTAGTGCATAATAGTGAGAAGTTTTCCACTACCTATTTCGCCTGTTAAGTAAAATCACTCTAATGCTGTTATTGATTTGTCTTAATTATGCCTGCAAAATAGTCATTGATCATGTTTGCTGATGACTTGATATCCATGTCACTGTCAAGGAACTGATAGTGCCAGTCCTGTTTGATGTCCCGCCTGACCGGTGAGCTTTTTAATCTCTCTCCACCACTTTGCAGGATTCACTTATTCTACTTCACCCTATTATACCTGCCAACTTTTTCTCAGATATAAGGGTGAGATTTTTATCCTGGGAGTGCTGGGATTTTTTAAGACGACACGATCGTTTCCGAAGATTCCCGAAGAAGCCCGCAAGTCTTCCGAAGTTTTCCGAACACGTCCGAAGTCTGCCGAAGGCGAAGTTTTCACCTGCTTTTCACTTCAAAAATCAGAGATCGCGAGGAAGGTATTGTCATTTATTCATTTTACACGTGGTTTTCGTTCCTTACATGGGTCTGAGTTAACATATTTTTGGAAATCGTGTCAAGCAAGACGGCAACAACTCACATTTTTCAATCAGGCGTGAGAAATCGGCCCGCAAGCGTGAGTCGGCGTGAGATCGAAGTTTTCAACCCGCAGGCGTGAGACTCACGCCTAAGGCGTGAGAGTTGGCAGGTATACCCTATTATGATAGTAGTGGTACTTTACTGTTCTTACAGCGCATTGCACCTTATTTCTCCAGAGTCGGTAAG